TGAGAATACGAGGGAAATGTAGAAAACACGAGCCGCAGGCAAGTGTTTTCTACATTTCTCGAGTGTTCTCAAATGTCCGGAGTGTTTTATCACAGCGCAGCACACGGCTTAGGCTTCTTCATTTGCTTTATGATATGGATCTTATACGCGCAAAACAATAAAACACGCTTTTTGTATGTTTTATACTCCGATAAAACATGGGTTTTTGACCAATCAGAGTTCGCGCAGGGTCCTATGTACATGTGAATGAAACTTCATTTTCATATGAAAGGATGAGCAACAAGACTCGCTTTGAGAAAGAGGCTTGAGGTAACTCGAAAATAGCCTGTTGCAAGAGCAAGCACAAACGTTTTCTAACTGCTCAGCCTAGTCTCTCGGCGTTCTGTATATGAGCGCGAAGTAAGAGACTAGTTACAGTAACGAGAATGTATCATAAATTCGTGACGTCAAACCTTAGCGGAAAGAGAACGCCTGGCTACTCGTCTCACAGTAACTTACTTCGTGCCATGTGTAACCTATTGGTTGCGTTCGTCTTCGCCTGTCTCGCCATCTTAAGCGCCTGTGTTACTGTTATTCCAACCTTATTGTGAACGTTGCTTGTCAACTTCCTCAACATCCTCAAGTCTTCCTCTAGATCTTCCATCTTAGCTCTGAACTCTTGCCTGACGTCATTCAACTCTTTTGTTGCCTGTCTCTCGGCATTCAGAACGTTGGTTCGTATGTTCCTTATTTGAAAGAGCAGCACTGGATCAAAGGACATCTTCCCACTAAAACTCTCCCCGCTTCCCTCTCCCTTGACTATTCTTCTTGTGGGATTGAAGTGAGCTCCTGAACGAACATTCTTTGTAAAGGATGATCCTTGCTTTGGGTCGCGGCGCCCTGGGATCACCTTCGTACTGTCTCCACTCACAATTGTCACCTTGTCTAGAAAATTATCCAACATTGTATCACCACTGCCGGAATGTTGAAAATCCCCACTTCCCTGTCCACTGAAATTCTTTTCGGAAAATTCCGTTTCACCTTTAGTTTCAGATTCCTGCTCGCGCCCGAATCCTTTAAGTAAATCAAGGCTACCTTTACTTTGATCTTCGAGTTTCCCACTGGCCTCAAAATCTGTGTCTGGAGTTTCCGCACTACCAGACGCTGCCACGATCTTTGTTTCTTCATGGTCTTCAACACTTGCCCTTTTCTGAATTTTCTTATCACCACGTTTCTTGTCGCTTTCTTCTGTTTGAGAAAGTATGTTATGCAAAGTCATTGTCGTGATATTATCTTGAGATTCATGATCGTCCTCATTTTCATCTTGGTTCTTCATGTTTTCCTTCGCCATAGTTTGTGCTTTCAGCAGCATAATTCGTCTTACACCAGGTGAATTCTGAAAGCCTGTGCGCACCTTTCTTTTCTGAACACGAACGCCGTTCTTGTCAGTCAGTAAAGCAGAAGACTTATCACTTTCTTGGGCGTTACGATCTGCCTCATCTTGCTTGTTCCTCTTTTGGCTTGATCCAGTGTAGAATGACTCATCTTCCTCTTCTAGTTGGCCATTCTTATCAGTTTCTAACAGGTCAAGTTTAGGATTTCTAACTTGCTCCTCGTCGTTTTCGTCTGAGCCCGTCACTCCCCTATCGTTTGCAAACCGCTGATGGCTGTTTCCATGTGTGTAGGCTAATGATTGCGACTGCAAGTCACTTTGGAAACTGTTTCCAAACAAACTGTTGAGTTCTTCAGATGTGGAAGCGCCTGATAATAGAGAATGGAAATCATTTATAACATAATTTTGCTATAAAATTGATAATGTTGTTATAAGACATTAAGTCAAAATTACAGTTTTATGGAGGGGGTCTCAGATTTTTCTTTTCATCTAGACTGTTTTTCAACAGTGACACAAACATAATTAAGACCAACATTGAGGAGAGACAGAAAAGGTTCAGCCAGGACAAGTACAGAGCCAAGTAGTTGACTAAGGCGCTCACTTTCTTATTGCTCCCCGGCCAAAGACCACAAAATCTTCTTATGCTTGCGTCACTAGTGAATATCAGGCTTAAAACTATCACAGCGGCCATCAGACCCAATTCAGTTTACACTATTGATACTGGAATTAAATGGCCAACAAAGGGTCGCTCTCTCACCCTCTTTCATCTGTGGCCTTTAATTGCCCAAAGACCGCATTGCCACTAAAGAGAATTAATTGAAAAACGCTAAATTTCTTGTGTCGCATTCATTTTTCCACGGCCAGGCTTTTACAGCTGCATGTATTTCAAATATTGTGAGTACAATTCAGATCTACTGGTGTTCAGCTCTACCCAGAAGATAGATCTTGGAGCAAAGTGTCACGTAAGGTCATTGGGTTTCCTCGGGCAGTGGTCAACACCTGTTTTTAACCAGTGAACTGAACATGCCCTCTGAGAAAAGCTGTGACAGAATCGTGTCGTGTTTAGCAGTGTTATAATACAACACCCATAACTTCTGACAGTAACCCTCTTGGCACATTGGACATTGAAATTTTTAACGCTTCTAAGAGCTTTAAATGGTTCTGAAGGACGCCAGACGGCGAAAGTTTTCTCCGTGGTGATGTATGTACTGTTCTATTATCATATTTTGCGTTAGATCATTTACAGAAAAGAGCTTCAATTTATCGTCTCGAAAACTTAAATAATTAACTTACCTTCAACCGTAAATTGAAATTGAGACTAAGGACGAAACGAGGTATTGCACAAACATCATTCCATATCGTTCATTAGAATTTATTTATCCTTTTCGAAGAGTCCGATAATTAACCATATAAACAGAAAAAAAGCAAAAATGTTGAAATTTTAATGAGGCTTTAGGTTTATCCAGTAAGAAAATAGACGAAGATATAGCCAAAAAAATAGCTTTGGCGAATGAAGAGTCACTGATTATCTACGCTATGTACAAAATGTCATGACTAGGCCATATAGATAAAGATCAGGTAAAGAAAAATTGCCATGAACGAAGTTTTTATAATCCACTCGGCGCAGAGAATTAAACTTATCCTTTTAAATACTTAAACTGACTTCCTCGATAATCTGTAGATAGATCTGGCAGACTAGCTTATAATTCAAAGCCTGTTGTCTTCGCTTAGGAAAAACAAACCGCTAAAACCTTATTACAATTCACTCTTCGTTTAAATGATTCACTTGATACCTTGGTCTTGGAGTCAGTCTAGGATAATTTGGTATACAAGCAATGGTAATAAGTCATGCTTTTAGCACTGGTTTAGACAAAACGCCAGCAAAATTTCCGTGATAGTGTCCCCTGCTTCACGGTTCAAGAATTTAACAATGTTTGCCAAGTCCCCGAATGCAAATTAATTAACTGAGCTATTTTAATTTAAAGAAGAATGTAAACCGCTCTTAACACTTTTAATTCACTGATTTTGTCAGGTTAATATCACGACTAAGCCAAAAGTACGTCTTTATAAATAACACTTCGATAAGTAGGTGAACAAAGAGTAACCAGGATGTCGATATTTGTGCAAAGCCAGAGTATTTTAAAGTAACATCATAAACTCCTGTTAGATATATAACCGCTGACTCCGAACACAATGCTATAAAAAAAACCCACCTCCTTATAAGATTAAAATAGTACAAAGCACATTTTATTTTCTGTTTTTTTTCCGTTTCGTTCAGTTTCTTAATGTTTAAAAATACTTTCTTGCTATTTTTAGGCTCTAAACGTCTTGCAGTGTTACTTAAATGACGGCAGAACCTCTGAATGTAGAGATTTGTGATTATTTTTTTTATTTTACAGTTTTTGACTACCTGCAGTGTCGTAAGAATGCTATCAAGTTTGTTGATATATCCCGCGTGAAAGCGGTCTTTTGCTAGAACGTCTTAGCCTTAAGCCACCAATTTATATTGTCTAGGGATGGATTTTGTATTCAATCTCATCGCATGAAATAAGAGAAAAATACTACACTCAGCTAATAAAATGACAAGGAGAGATACGGCATATGAACTGATTGAGATCGGGGGCCAGCAAACAAGGCAAGCATTGAGCCAAACGAATTAAAGGCAGGCTGCTTAGGAATTCAGAACGCTAATATGCAGCCTAGTGGAAACTGAACGAAGCTTGTAATCCACGAGGGGTCTAGGCTTTGCGCCGTAATGACCCGTACCATTGTCACATGTAAACGTCTGCAATGCACTATCCAGTCTTTTCAAGTTTTTGATCCAGGTCAACATGCGTTCAGTCTTAGAATCAAGAACTGGGTCGCATAACGGAGTTGCCTTTTTTGGATAGCAAGTTTGTCTGGCAGGTGAAAGAGGTTTTTGGCAGGTGTTGGGAAATATGACCCCTGTTTTACAAAGTGCGACAACACCAAACTTTCCTAGCGTGTAAAGCAAATCCTCGACTGGTTCTAACGCCGTCTTCTGAACGTAACTTACAAAAGCGGTGTCATTAGCGATTTGGAGTGTACAGCTTCAAATCTCGATACCTGGCTAAAAATATTGGCCTTTTTAGCGCCCATATGAACTCCACACCAAGCTTGACTGGTAACAGATCAAGAAATGTAACTTATTTCCTCTTGAAATTCAACGTGAGACGGAAGACGGCAGTGCAACGTGTATTTTGAACATTTAGCTGTGACTAGTTAACATCAACAGGAGATAGACCTGCTCTTACAGGAGCCGGTAACTCTTAAAACTTCAACTCTTTTGACATGTTTAAGCACTTCAGTAGCTCAAAACCTGGTTAACATACAAGGACTAGTAATTGGACTTCACTTACCGAGCGACGGAGAAGAATCTGTACCACTTGTCTTGTGAACTTGCAGTTGAACGAGCAGAGCCAGGACAAAAATAGCTTTGGGAGTGGTCATGCCTTTGCTGACAACGTGGAGGTATAGAAATAAAGAAGATTTCCCATGGACGCACTTTAAGCTGCTCCTGCTGTCATTTGGGCGAAGATGACTCAAATCTCTGAGCTCGTCATCTACGACGTACGTTCTATTTTTGACCTCAGGGTGTTTCAGCTGTCGTCGATAATCAAAGCTAGTCAAGGATTGTTTTTAACCAAAAGTTAACGTTTAGTTTGAACTCTCGTAAAATTTTTTTCAATTGTCTTAAGGGATCGTCTGCTGAAGTACCATGCTTTCGTTTCTTAATCGTTATATTTAAGTGTAGTCGCTTAAAATATCTTTACACGAATCCTATTGATTGATGTGCACTGTTATTCTATATATTAAAGATGATTGAGCAATTTTCGAACATGTCATTTCCCCTTTTATTTCTCTGGACGTACACCCGTTGACACTCTGTTTCGCTATGGAGATTTTCGTTAATATTTCTCATTTACCGTGATGACCGATCGCGACTACTTGATAAGTTGGACAGTTAACTAAAGCTTCTGAAACCATATCGAGTAGAAGTATCGGGCTACTTTCGATGCAAACGATTCAGCATTTCCCGGCTCGAAGAGGCCAAGCAACGTAACCTCTAAAAAAGTTAACGTAAGCTTAATGACCGCTAATGAAACGTCGTTAATCATTATGGTGAGGAGATTTGCACTGTTTAAGTTTATCTGCAGCAAACTTACAGTAACGCCCCTCCTTTGACTACTCGGTTAATATAAACGCATCTCTATTATGACCACCGTCGCTTGGCTCGAAGAAAAACTGTTCGGTCAGTCTCAGTCTGGCTGTATCTACAGCCACCCCGTTGATGAGGAATTGAGATTTTGATGGCGTATACGTGGATTCTACTGGAAGCAGGCGACTGACACGCTACTTTGTAAATCGTGTGACAAATGAGCCAAAGGGTATCTTTTTTTTTGTAGAACACAACTTTGAAAACAACAACCAAGAAGATACAAGGTTAGGTGCTTCACTTGGTTTATAGACTGGTGACCAAGACGCGTGCTAACATCATACAGGGGTATTTTTCTTGTATTTGTTTGTCCCACGAAACCTTACACGGACAATTTCTATTTCATGTCTCTTTTAGGTCGCTTTTCGCGTCGGCCACGTTGTGAAAAGCGATAAAAGATGGCACGGAACACAGCGAAGCGACGTGGTGTGTCTGTATTCCCTTCAACACGGGTTGAGAGTAGGCGTTGTCGAGTTGCCTTGCCTCAAACGAATTTGAAGGGTTCAGCAAAGCTCTATTCTCGACGGCAAGACCCTTTTAGCGGAGGAACAACTGAGGTCATATATACTACAGATGCAATCACAATAGAGGGTATCCAGGCTGTGCTCAGAGAAAGAGCAATAGTTCCTTCTGGAACAAAAACATTTCAGTTAATAAACTGCATGTTATGTGATGGCAAATTTAAAGGTGGATAAAAGTATCTCTCCCCCGTAAAGATTTATACCCCGTTGACGCCAAAAGAAGAAAACGTTCAAATACGGAAATAGCTACAAGAGGTCGTTACGTCTGACTTAAGTTAGCTGACTATTTTCGGTAACTGCTCGAGTCTTCTTCGGGCACCGATGACCTCCTTTTAATTAATATACGAACGATTGTCGGAAAGCTTTTGTTCTCAGGCCCCTGCGCTGATCTAAAGCGCAAGTGCTGTCATGCGCATGCTTGGCTTTGTTCATTCTCGAAAACCTCGTCAACAGCGTTTCTCGCCATCATAGAGTCGCCCCTGAGTGAAGATGCTTTGAATTAAAGATTTCTATCATCCCAGTTGAAGTAACAAGTACTGGTTGTGGACAAAATCCTGCCTCTGAGAATCCATTTAGCCTGGGAAGGAGTCTCTGTCAGCAATAATGCTGAACAACACAAAGCTTTAGATTATGTGTTTAACATAGAATATGTGACTAAATGTTTAAGGCCTTTAAAGAGAGTCAGAGGTTCCGCTTCCTTGAAAGGGGTTAGAATGAAAACCTTGAAAGACATTCTTCTTAAAGTTTTCTTAACTAACCCCCGAAACAACACAAGACCAAACTAATCAAGTACGCTACCGAATTTCAATAATCTATACTGAAATTCCACAAGTAAAGATTCATGTTTATTAAACATTTTTTGGTTTGTTTGTGACTTATTTTGAACTATTTCCTATTTCCAGTCTGCATGAATTAGCTTCTATGTGTCAGTATTCCATTGCTACTCCACAGCCAACATTTAACATCCATGGCTAAGATAAACTGCTTTTGCAATTAATTGTCGAAAGTCACCTGTTGTGTCAGTAAGCCTGCTGCAGGTGCTTTACACTTGAATTCGTTGTCAACCAGAAGGATAATTCATTTTAACAAATAAACGTAACTTAAAATAGACTTTAAATGGCGCGCAATTTATATCACTATTCCTTAGCTTGTTAACATGTCGAAGAAGACTTTCATTCTCACTCCCATTCTCAAGATATCAATTCCCCCTACTTACAGCCGTACGTTTGTTTGGAAGCTTGTTCTGAGAATTCGGTCCTAAATCAAGAAAAACTCACATATTATTGACAGCTTCCTTTCGTTGCTGTCTGGCGTTGCGTTTGGTCCGTGAACCACGGAGAAACTATGAAATTTCGACTGTACTCTCGGCGGCGTAAAACAACAAGAGTTACGCCAGTTAAATCTGTCTGTGTGTACAAGTTAACTTGCGATCTGCCAGGAGGAATTAGATACTCATCACTATTGCGAACTGATTTGAGTTATGGGGAAGTCCGCACTTCAACAGTGGTAGGTAGTCTACTTACGAGCCACACATGTGGCCCTCAGGCCGGAGATTATCCCTGTTTCTGTGGCATGAAGCGACTAGGAGTATTTGTACCCACCCCCTCCTCGCCCCTCCCCAAGATCCTCGCTGGGCTATCCTCAACATTTAATTCGCCGGTACCCATTTACACACCTGGGTGGAGAGAGGCACTGTGAAAGTAAGTTGTCTTGTCCAAGAACGCAACACAATGCCTTGGCAGGGCTCGAACTTGGACCGCTCGATCCGGAGACCAGCGCCAAACCATGAGGCCACCGTGCCTCCCTTTCAGCAGTGGATAGAGAGTGAATTAATAAAATATTCTCACAAGGCGACTAGTTCTGTTGTAATTTATTACTCATAAAATCATGATATCTGTTCCCATTGGCTGACAGCGTACAGGTCCGTGTAACTCTAGAAATCAGAGCAAGAATTGAGATAGTTTTATTGGTTACATTTACCCGATGCACAGTATATACAGAGTTTTCTTGTTTCCTTTTTCTATATTTACACGTGTTAAGTTGACAGTTCCTCATGGAAAGCTTCTGTCAATACGGTATAGCCGTGTGTATCTTCAGCATTTGACATGATTTTAAGGTAAAGCCTTTTGAAGGGGACGTTTTTGAAGGTCTCTGGGTCAAGTTTCAGCCGAGTGTCAACTCTTCGTTATAACAGTCTCTCGATTGGTAAATGGTTTGAACCCAGGAGTATCAGTAGTTTGTATAGTGTGATCGTCCGGGTGAGGGTAGTTCTGAAGAAGAACTGTCGTTGGTGACTGACATTTCGACATTCTGACTGGAAGTCATATTCGGAGTCAAGTGAATAGTGTTTGTCAGTCGATAGAGTTATAACGCTGGCCCGTTGAAAGTTGGACCAGACTAGGGCCAGACCAGATGGACAGACGGACCAGACTTAATATAACACAATCGACTGACAAACACTATTCACTTGACTCTGAAGATGACTTCCGCTAAGGTCGTCGAAACGTCAGCCACCGACAACACTTCTTTTCAGAACTAACCTCGCCACGACGATCACAGTATACGAACTAGCTAGTCTCGATCCCGATTAAAACTACGTTTTTCTCAATTACTGAACTGCTTTACGGTTACTTAAAATGCAGATCTCTCCCTCTATTCATACTGTCTACCCAATCAAGTTAAATCAAATTTCTACTTTACATTAGGTTTGCTGCAAATGTTTGCCCTTTTTCTGCAGTCAAGTTTCTTCCTTTTAATATCCATTTTGAAATTCAAGCAGCCCGTTTTCAACTAGATGCAGGAAATTTTTGGTCTTTTCAAAAGCTCGCTTGTTTTCTTGTGATTTTTCGTCGATAGCATCTTTCGCAAATTTCACTTGGTCATTCTCGTATTTTTCTTGCTTCACCAAACTTCTAGCCACGGCATCTTCATCTGCGCTATGTCCAGCTGGGATGTCATCTTTTGGTTTTAGTGATTTTTCCTGTTTCTTACTTTTCGCTTGGTCATTTTCCGTAGAGTCCTTCTTTGTTTTTTCATCATCTTTGGCTTTCTCGTCACCCACGGGATTCTCGGCAATCAGATCTCGTATCTTGCTAATCATGTCGTGCGATTTGGTCTCCTCGAGGTCTTTTCTGAGCTGTCCCAAGTCATTAGTAACGTCTGCAAGAATACAATAAATAAATTGAATGAAACATCTAGGAAGTATAGGTAATGGTATGAATGCGAGTTCAATTAAGGATTAACACTATGTGTGATATTTGAAAATTCTCTCAAAATTGTGCACGAGCCTTTAGGCGATTACTTATTTATTGCATGACCGAGAACATTGCGAAAGCGCGCGCGTTAATTTGCACTGCAGATAAAAGATTAATTGGCCCGCTCTCAGCCAATCACAATGAAGCAATTTTCTCAGTCATATAATATAAGGGAAAAAATGGCTATCATAGATCAGCTTAAGAACGAGGGAAACCCTACAATTGCATAAACATATTCATTGTTAGTAAACGTGTAGGCAGCTTGGTCACAATTGTGAAGCGCAAAATCCAACGCCTCTTCAGGGTTTCGTTGCTTCGAAGCAGTACTCAAGTCTGAGGCGAAAACGTTCGGCCTTCTAGCTTTATGATACTCTACCTGCCATTTCGCCCAATCTTGAGGAAGCCTTCTTGATAGCATCTTGCAAAATTTCCATTGTTTCTCTCAGTGCTTTTCGCGCCTTTGCACTAATGTCTTCTGCTTTTTTCTCCGCCTTCTCCAGTTTTCCCTCAAGTTTTTCTTGCTGGATGCCCAGCGCTTGGCGAACCTGTTTCAAGCTGAATCCAACCTGATTCAAAGCTCGCAGACCCTGTTTAGCTTTTGCCATCATGTCGAAGGGTCTCACAACGCCGTAACAGCAATAAGATTTCTTCTGGCCATTAATAGCTGCAAGAAGAAAATTTAAAAGATACTCTGAGAATCAATGAGGTGACACTTGCTTCCAGCGTATATTTTTCTTCTTCTCTTAATCGCCATTGGTATCGACCTTTAGATCTTAGAGTTGTGAGTAACCACCGAAACGTTTTCATAGTTTTCTTTGTTAAATTGAATTATGTTAATCTTGCTAAAGCAAATGAAATTGTAAAGTAAATAAAAATTATAGTTTTAACACAGGGGCGAAATACTTTCTTTTCAATAGCTATTCTTTTAGAAGCCTGTGGCTCTCTCTTTGCTGGAAGCCTTCGTTTGACCTGTTAAAACCGGTACCTTATTTCCAATCTGTCAGTCTAACTAACAAACAACACTGACTATCAGTGTTTTGAATTATCAGGCAGTATTTTAAAACACACAGGAGTTTTCTATTAGCCGGGATATAGCGAAACATTGACATCAGGAAAACTATTTGACAGTCAAAACTCGTGTTGAAGTGTATGAGCCGTTAGTCTGTTCTATATAACCAGTTTGACAAGATGTTATAAATGAATTAATTCAACCTACTTCTTACTCGGATGATCGGTGAACTCGATGCCAAAACGCATGATACAAGAACTATAACCACGTGCAACACCTTCATCTCTAAAGAACCATGAATCAAGGGATCAAATTAGGTGATAATTATCAGATATCAAAAACACAACACTGGGGTGAAACACAATATCTGCAATTAGACGCGCCCATGACACAATCTCGAAGAAAAATAACAAGATGTGATTGGCTCGTTGTACAGGTTATCCCATAGTATGAGAGTTCGCACCAGTTGTTTCCCTTTTTTTGTTTACACTTTCTCAGGTCGATTCCATTGTGAAGAAAAAGTTTACTCAATTAAATGGTGTGAAACTCGCAAACTCGCCTCCAAAACATCGTTTTATTTGCTTCGTGCGATTGATATGCAACTAATAATACTATATACTGGCACAACAACAACAACTCATCGAGGCATGATGTTCACTGCTCGAAAAGATCAGTGTTAGCAAAGAAATTTCGTTATCGTTTTAAAATTCTTTCCTGAAAGTTTATTTTGCTGTTACGACAGTGCTTTGTCATTTCTTGTTTCGGTTTTGGTTTCTATATCTAAACAAAGCATTTTGCTTTGTTCCGTTATACGACCTTTATAGGACTTCTTTTCGTCTGCTTTGATGAGGAATAAGTAGCAAGCAGATTAGAATTTCAAAAAGATTTTAAATTCCACAAAATACTGAACTGTAAATAGTGTGGAGCAATCGTTCTAATAGTGATATGGTTTTATTAGTTTCACGCCCAGTTAAATCGCCCTTCCTTTGTTGTGATTTGGAAATTAAACTAATACAAATCCCTCTTTTCATAACCTTGAAATTTGGTCTATTTTTTAATTTTGTTCTATTTTGTTCGCGACAAACGACTGAGAGGTTTTTACCCTTTATTGCGCCCTGCATTAATTTTGTTTTACATCAAATCTATCATAGGTCTTTATATGGTTAGCGATCCATAACCCTTCAAAAATCGAAAACGAAGTGTTTTGATAGTGTTAGTTACAGAACACTTCATCCAGGCAGCCTATGCTGTATAAATATCTTGGAGTCACTAGTTGCTTCTCTGCTCTTTCGCTCGCCTTTTAGTGTCTTTTCTATTTACACTCATATCAGGTGAATCATGGTTCATAATACCTAGGTTCATATCAATACCCATAGATACTCTGCGTGGCCGGCGTTCAAAGGGAAGGGAGAGGAGGAAACTAGAAGCGGGAAGCGCGATCGTCCCTTTCCCCCCACCGCACTTCGGGCTTCTGGTTTCCCCGTCTCCCCCCTCCCTTTGAACGCTTGCCAAGCAGGCTAATCCATAGATAGATCAGGCAACCGAGCCTGATTCGCCGCCGAAGCGTACTCACCAAAGGGACCGACGATTGGGAAGTTACCGTTCTAGAATTCGGCAGAAAAATTGTTTAATTCAATTACTGTTTACATTGCATGCTAGTTCCTTTCAATCGGGACGAATAAAAAAAAAAATCTGTGAGGTAACTTTTCTCGGATCGTTATCCGCGATCTTCAATCCCCGAAGTGCGGGGATTTAGGGGGAGGGGAGTAGAGAGCAGGGGCCGGGCGAAGAACATTCTACGCCCACCCCGCGCAAGTCTGCGCTGTCCTCGCGTTTGGTTCTCTTCGCTTATGTCGATTTATTTTGAGAAAATACAGAGTTCGTGAGAAATGTAGACAGTCGAAACACGTATCGAATTGTTCAACTGGTTGGAAAATCTGAATAATAAAATAGTTCTTCGTAAACAGGCATCTTCTCCATAAGAGGTTTGTGTTAACATATTTGCATGATATAAATATTAGAATACCCTGACCTCGTTTGAGAGACGCGCTGAAACTAGAAAGGCGCCGATTCTTTTTGTTATTAGAAAAAAAAATCCAAGAAAATCTTGGAGACACTCATTGACAGGTACCTGCATTTACTAGTCAAACAGCTCTCTGCATTTACATACTGCAGCGGCCGCTCCACTATACGGTATTAATTTGTTAGCTCCCTGAATAATTTATTGAGTACCAGCTAAGAAATCTAAAGCCACTTTTGCGCGTCCTGAAGCTTAAAACTGCGAAGTTCCCGCAGTTAGGTTTAGAGTTTCTCCATCGGAATATGAAAGGTTTTACAATCACACTGCTAATCGTGGCGACTTTCTCTTTGTCAGCATGTCTTCCTGCGAGAAATCCAGCTGAGAAACTGCTGACGCGAGGTAAGAAACGATTTCTCATATATTCTGCATTTTTGAGCAATGTGCATTATATATATTTTTAAATTCAATTTGGGTTAAGGCAGGGAACAGTAATTCTGTTAACGTACGATAATACGTAGGTCTTATTTGTAACTAAGCGCCCAAAATTGTGTCGTAATGTATATACTTTTAATTTCTGAACACATTTGCATCATCGATATAAGGAAGATTTGGTTTGCTCATCTCAACTGCTTTCAAATGAAATCTGCATATTTGAAAATATAGCTATTGATTCCTGTTTTTGAACAGTTGAGTTACGAAAATTGATCACGCCTGCACTCTGAAAGATCTGACGCTTTTTTTCTAGCTTATTTTATGAAGCTTAAAGCTATGTTTAAAATCTGTGGAACATCGCATCAATGAGTGTGTAACCACTTTGGGTGCGTCTATCATTGATTGCATATGCATATTTAGCACACAAAATAACTGTGAAGCGTTGCATTTACAAGAAAACACACTCTTGCCCACCAGGCTACTCATGGATCTGGGTGAAATTCTGCGGATTGTTTTTAAGCCGTAGAAAATTTTGGAATGGGTCGGACGAAAGACGTTGTTATCATTCTAGGATAGAGCCGAATCTGATATAGCTCCATCGATGCTTCTTAGTTATGTGCGCGAGCAGTGGTTTCCCTTTTCATATCAACTAGTTTATTACCCAAAAGACTAAAAGCATGAGCTCTGCGTGGAAAGTAACGATATCTACTTTCCTATCACATCAAAGACTACCTGCATAGGACATACTATGGAAACTTTTATTGAGGGATTTATTTTTGATTTGGCTACTTGCAAACTCCACTTCTATAAGATAACGACTAGAGTGTGAGGACGAGTCTCTCTCCCGATCCCTATTACTACACTCGGACGAGCCTCTGCTCCATTTGTATGCTCATTAATGGTGCCTGTCAGCGAAAAGTTCGCCCGAGTCAGCATGGCCTCACTTTTTTAAAGAGCTTTTAAAGAACTGATTATGTAAATTAGTTATTCAATGCTTTAATAGTGAACAATCCGGCTTCAATTTGAACTCGATGCCATTCAATTAATTAACTTTGTACGTGCTGTAACACAGAACATTAATACATCAAAATAGCCTTATTCTAACAGCTCGCTCAGTGTTAAAGAGAATCGGACACAATTTCATCTTTCAGCAAATTGCGCCTTGAAAATATGTGTTAAAGATTACTTTAAAAAATATATTTTGCACATGTGCTTGTTCACATGTTAAAGTTTCTTGTAAATACGTTGCTGCATACCATGACGTGAGATTTTCGTAAAAACAAAAAAAACAAAAAAACCATGAATCTATGCGACACTTATCATTTCTATTACCTTGCAGTGAAGAGGGAGGATGAGGCTGCAAAGAATGATTCGAAAGCAGAGGAAGAAAGACCGGCTCCTGGTCTCGGTGGTACAAACGTACGATTTCCCAGTAAGTTATGATAAGTTGTAGAACAGTGTTAAAATGAGTGTTGTAAATCCAAAACCAAAGTTATCACTAGCCANTAACACAATCGACTGACAAACACTATTCACTTGACTCTGAAGATGACTTCCGCTAAGGTCGTCGAAACGTCAGCCACCGACAACACTTCTTTTCAGAACTAACCTCGCCACGACGATCACAGTATACGAACTAGCTAGTCTCGATCCCGATTAAAACTACGTTTTTCTCAATTACTGAACTGCTTTACGGTTACTTAAAATGCAGATCTCTCCCTCTATTCATACTGTCTACCCAATCAAGTTAAATCAAATTTCTACTTTACATTAGGTTTGCTGCAAATGTTTGCCCTTTTTCTGCAGTCAAGTTTCTTCCTTTTAATATCCATTTTGAAATTCAAGCAGCCCGTTTTCAACTAGATGCAGGAAATTTTTGGTCTTTTCAAAAGCTCGCTTGTTTTCTTGTGATTTTTCGTCGATAGCATCTTTCGCAAATTTCACTTGGTCATTCTCGTATTTTTCTTGCTTCACCAAACTTCTAGCCACGGCATCTTCATCTGCGCTATGTCCAGCTGGGATGTCATCTTTTGGTTTTAGTGATTTTTCCTGTTTCTTACTTTTCGCTTGGTCATTTTCCGTAGAGTCCTTCTTTGTTTTTTCATCATCTTTGGCTTTCTCGTCACCCACGGGATTCTCGGCAATCAGATCTCGTATCTTGCTAATCATGTCGTGCGATTTGGTCTCCTCGAGGTCTTTTCTGAGCTGTCCCAAGTCATTAGTAACGTCTGCAAGAATACAATAAATAAATTGAATGAAACATCTAGGAAGTATAGGTAATGGTATGAATGCGAGTTCAATTAAGGATTAACACTATGTGTGATATTTGAAAATTCTCTCAAAATTGTGCACGAGCCTTTAGGCGATTACTTATTTATTGCATGACCGAGAACATTGCGAAAGCGCGCGCGTTAATTTGCACTGCAGATAAAAGATTAATTGGCCCGCTCTCAGCCAATCACAATGAAGCAATTTTCTCAGTCATATAATATAAGGGAAAAAATGGCTATCATAGATCAGCTTAAGAACGAGGGAAACCCTACAATTGCATAAACATATTCATTGTTAGTAAACGTGTAGGCAGCTTGGTCACAATTGTGAAGCGCAAAATCCAACGCCTCTTCAGGGTTTCGTTGCTTCGAAGCAGTACTCAAGTCTGAGGCGAAAACGTTCGGCCTTCTAGCTTTATGATACTCTACCTGCCATTTCGCCCAATCTTGAGGAAGCCTTCTTGATAGCATCTTGCAAAATTTCCATTGTTTCTCTCAGTGCTTTTCGCGCCTTTGCACTAATGTCTTCTGCTTTTTTCTCCGCCTTCTCCAGTTTTCCCTCAAGTTTTTCTTGCTGGATGCCCAGCGCTTGGCGAACCTGTTTCAAGCTGAATCCAACCTGATTCAAAGCTCGCAGACCCTGTTTAGCTTTTGCCATCATGTCGAAGGGTCTCACAACGCCGTAACAGCAATAAGATTTCTTCTGGCCATTAATAGCTGCAAGAAGAAAATTTAAAAGATACTCTGAGAATCAATGAGGTGACACTTGCTTCCAGCGTATATTTTTCTTCTTCTCTTAATCGCCATTGGTATCGACCTTTAGATCTTAGAGTTGTGAGTAACCACCGAAACGTTTTCATAGTTTTCTTTGTTAAATTGAATTATGTTAATCTTGCTAAAGCAAATGAAATTGTAAAGTAAATAAAAATTATAGTTTTAACACAGGGGCGAAATACTTTCTTTTCAATAGCTATTCTTTTAGAAGCCTGTGGCTCTCTCTTTGCTGGAAGCCTTCGTTTGACCTGTTAAAACCGGTACCTTATTTCCAATCTGTCAGTCTAACTAACAAACAACACTGACTATCAGTGTTTTGAATTATCAGGCAGTATTTTAAAACACACAGGAGTTTTCTATTAGCCGGGATATAGCGAAACATTGACATCAGGAAAACTATTTGACAGTCAAAACTCGTGTTGAAGTGTATGAGCCGTTAGTCTGTTCTATATAACCAGTTTGACAAGATGTTATAAATGAATTAATTCAACCTACTTCTTACTCGGATGATCGGTGAACTCGATGCCAAAACGCATGATACAAGAACTATAACCACGTGCAACACCTTCATCTCTAAAGAACCATGAATCAAGGGATCAAATTAGGTGATAATTATCAGATATCAAAAACACAACACTGGGGTGAAACACAATATCTGCAATTAGACGCGCCCATGACACAATCTCGAAGAAAAATAACAAGATGTGATTGGCTCGTTGTACAGGTTATCCCATAGTATGAGAGTTCGCACCAGTTGTTTCCCTTTTTTTGTTTACACTTTCTCAGGTCGATTCCATTGTGAAGAAAAAGTTTACTCAATTAAATGGTGTGAAACTCGCAAACTCGCCTCCAAAACATCGTTTTATTTGCTTCGTGCGATTGATATGCAACTAATAATACTATATACTGGCACAACAACAACAACTCATCGAGGCATGATGTTCACTGCTCGAAAAGATCAGTGTTAGCAAAGAAATTTCGTTATCGTTTTAAAATTCTTTCCTGAAAGTTTATTTTGCTGTTACGACAGTGCTTTGTCATTTCTTGTTTCGGTTTTGGTTTCTATATCTAAACAAAGCATTTTGCTTTGTTCCGTTATACGACCTTTATAGGACTTCTTTTCGTCTGCTTTGATGAGGAATAAGTAGCAAGCAGATTAGAATTTCAAAAAGATTTTAAATTCCACAAAATACTGAACTGTAAATAGTGTGGAGCAATCGTTCTAATAGTGATATGGTTTTATTAGTTTCACGCCCAGTTAAATCGCCCTTCCTTTGTTGTGATTTGGAAATTAAACTAATACAAATCCCTCTTTTCATAACCTTGAAATTTGGTCTATTTTTTAATTTTGTTCTATTTTGTTCGCGACAAACGACTGAGAGGTTTTTACCCTTTATTGCGCCCTGCATTAATTTTGTTTTACATCAAATCTATCATAGGTCTTTATATGGTTAGCGATCCATAACCCTTCAAAAATCGAAAACGAAGTGTTTTGATAGTGTTAGTTACAGAACACTTCATCCAGGCAGCCTATGCTGTATAAATATCTTGGAGTCACTAGTTGCTTCTCTGCTCTTTCGCTCGCCTTTTAGTGTCTTTTCTATTTACACTCATATCAGGTGAATCATGGTTCATAATACCTAGGTTCATATCAATACCCATAGATACTCTGCGTGGCCGGCGTTCAAAGGGAAGGGAGAGGAGGAAACTAGAAGCGGGAAGCGCGATCGTCCCTTTCCCCCCACCGCACTTCGGGCTTCTGGTTTCCCCGTCTCCCCCCTCCCTTTGAACGCTTGCCAAGCAGGCTAATCCATAGATAGATCAGGCAACCGAGCCTGATTCGCCGCCGAAGCGTACTCACCAAAGGGACCGACGATTGGGAAGTTACCGTTCTAGAATTCGGCAGAAAAATTGTTTAATTCAATTACTGTTTACATTGCATGCTAGTTCCTTTCAATCGGGACGAATAAAAAAAAAAATCTGTGAGGTAACTTTTCTCGGATCGTTATCCGCGATCTTCAATCCCCGAAGTGCGGGGATTTAGGGGGAGGGGAGTAGAGAGCAGGGGCCGGGCGAAGAACATTCTACGCCCACCCCGCGCAAGTCTGCGCTGTCCTCGCGTTTGGTTCTCTTCGCTTATGTCGATTTATTTTGAGAAAATACAGAGTTCGTGAGAAATGTAGACAGTCGAAACACGTATCGAATTGTTCAACTGGTTGGAAAATCTGAATAATAAAATAGTTCTTCGTAAACAGGCATCTTCTCCATAAGAGGTTTGTGTTAACATATTTGCATGATATAAATATTAGAATACCCTGACCTCGTTTGAGAGACGCGCTGAAACTAGAAAGGCGCCGATTCTTTTTGTTATTAGAAAAAAAATCCAGTATCTCTGAGATTAAATATACTCTCCGTGGTACTAAATTATATTTTATACGTAAGCTACATCCCCAAAAGAAGTGAGATAGGCCCGTTTCTACGGCTTATAAAAGACTGAAATTAGATTGAATAAAAAAACTGTTTTCTGCAAGCTGGAGTTTAATTTTGTCAGCTCTTCATTTTTCTTTCAAAATGTTCTTCTAATTCTTTATTCGCTTGTTGTTGCTTAAATGTCCGTGCAATTCTTCAGTGTTAATGTTGTTCTGTTTTTCAAGACAATCTTGGAGACACTCATTGACAGGTACCTGCATTTACTAGTCAAACAGCTCTCTGCATTTACATACAGCAGCGGCCGCTCCACTATACGGTATTAATTTGTTAGCTCCCTGAATAATTTATTGAGTACCAGCTAAGAAATCTAAAGCCACTTTTGCGCGTCCTGAAGCTTAAAACTGCGAAGTTCCCGCAGTTAGGTTTAGAGTTTCTCCATCGGAATATGAAAGGTTTTACAATCACACTGCTAATCGTGGCGACTTTCTCTTTGTCAGCATGTCTTCCTGCGAGAAATCCAGCTGAGAAACTGCTGACGCGAGGTAAGAAACGATTTCTCATATATTCTGCATTTTTGAGCAATGTGCATTATATATATTTTTAAATTCAATTTGGGTTAAGGCAGGGAACAGTAATTCTGTTAACGTACGATAATACGTAGGTCTTATTTGTAACTAAGCGCCCAAAATTGTGTCGTAATGTATATACTTTTAATTTCTGAACACATTTGCATCATCGATATAAGGAAGATTTGGTTTGCTCATCTCAACTGCTTTCAAATGAAATCTGCATATTTGAAAATATAGCTATTGATTCCTGTTTTTGAACAGTTGAGTTACGAAAATTGATCACGCCTGCACTCTGAAAGATCTGACGCTTTTTTTCTAGCTTATTTTATGAAGCTTAAAGCTATGTTTAAAATCTGTGGAACATCGCATCAATGAGTGTGTAACCACTTTGGGTGCGTCTATCATTGATTGCATATGCATATTTAGCACACAAAATAACTGTGAAGCGTTGCATTTACAAGAAAACACACTCTTGCCCACCAGGCTACTCATGGATCTGGGTGAAATTCTGCGGATTGTTTTTAAGCCGTAGAAAATTTTGGAATGGGTCGGACGAAAGACGTTGTTATCATTCTAGGATAGAGCCGAATCTGATATAGCTCCATCGATGCTTCTTAGTTATGTGCGCGAGCAGTGGTTTCCCTTTTCATATCAACTAGTTTATTACCCAAAAGACTAAAAGCATGAGCTCTGCGTGGAAAGTAACGATATCTACTTTCCTATCACATCAAAGACTACCTGCATAGGACATACTATGGAAACTTTTATTGAGGGATTTATTTTTGATTTGGCTACTTGCAAACTCCACTTCTATAAGATAACGACTAGAGTGTGAGGACGAGTCTCTCTCCCGATCCCTATTACTACACTCGGACGAGCCTCTGCTCCATTTGTATGCTCATTAATGGTGCCTGTCAGCGAAAAGTTCGCCCGAGTCAGCATGGCCTCACTTTTTTAAAGAGCTTTTAAAGAACTGATTATGTAAATTAGTTATTCAATGCTTTAATAGTGAACAATCCGGCTTCAATTTGAACTCGATGCCATTCAATTAATTAACTTTGTACGTGCTGTAACACAGAACATTAATACATCAAAATAGCCTTATTCTAACAGCTCGCTCAGTGTTAAAGAGAATCGGACACAATTTCATCTTTCAGCAAATTGCGCCTTGAAAATATGTGTTAAAGATTACTTTAAAAAATATATTTTGCACATGTGCTTGTTCACATGTTAAAGTTTCTTGTAAATACGTTGCTGCATACCATGACGTGAGATTTTCGTAAAAACAAAAAAAACAAAAAAACCATGAATCTATGCGACACTTATCATTTCTATTACCTTGCAGTGAAGAGGGAGGATGAGGCTGCAAAGAATGATTCGAAAGCAGAGGAAGAAAGACCGGCTCCTGGTCTCGGTGGTACAAACGTACGATTTCCCAGTAAGTTATGATAAGTTGTAGAACAGTGTTAAAATGAGTGTTGTAAATCCAAAACCAAAGTTATCACTAGCCANAAATTTCACTTGGTCATTCTCGTATTTTTCTTGCTTCACCAAACTTCTAGCCACGGCATCTTCATCTGCGCTATGTCCAGCTGGGATGTCATCTTTTGGTTTTAGTGATTTGTCCTGTTTCTTGCTTTTCGCTTGGTCATTTTCCGTAGAGTCCTTCTTTGTTTTTTCATCATCTTTGGCTTTCTCGTCACCCACGGGATTCTCGGCAATCAGATCTCGTATCTTGCTAATCATGTCGTGCGATTTGGTCTCCTCGAGGTCTTTTCTGAGCTGTCCCAAGTCATTAGTAACGTCTGCAAGAATACAATAAATAAATTGAATGAAACATCTAGGAAGTATAGGTAATGGTATGAATGCGAGTTCAATTAAGGATTAACACTATGTGTGATATTTGAAAATTCTCTCAAAATTGTGCACGAGCCTTTAGGCGATTACTTATTTATTGCATGACCGAGAACATTGCGAAAGCGCGCGCGTTAATTTGCACTGCAGATAAAAGATTAATTGGCCCGCTCTCAGCCAATCACAATGAAGCAATTTTCTCAGTCATATAATATAAGGGAAAAAATGGCTATCATAGGGAAACCCTACAATTGCATAAACATATTCATTGTTAGTAAACGTGTAGGCAGCTTGGTCACAATTGTGAAGCGCAAAATCCAACGCCTCTTCAGGGTTTCGTTGCTTCGAAGCAGTACTCAAGTCTGAGGCGAAAACGTTCGGCCTTCTAGCTTTATGATACTCTACCTGCCATTTCGCCCAATCTTGAGGAAGCCTTCTTGATAGCATCTTGCAAAATTTCCATTGTTTCTCTCAGTGCTTTTCGCGCCTTTGCACTAATGTCTTCTGCTTTTTTCTCCGCCTTCTCCAGTTTTCCCTCAAGTTTTTCTTGCTGGATGCCCAGCGCTTGGCGAACCTGTTTCAAGCTGAATCCAACCTGATTCAAAGCTCGCAGACCCTGTTTAGCTTTTGCCATCATGTCGAAGGGTCTCACAACGCCGTAACAGCAATAAGATTTCTTCTGGCCATTAATAGCTGCAAGAAGAAAATTTAAAAGATACTCTGAGAATCAATGAGGTGACACTTGCTTCCAGCGTATATTTTTCTTCTTCTCTTAATCGCCATTGGTATCGACCTTTAGATCTTAGAGTTGTGAGTAACCACCGAAACGTTTTCATAGTTTTCTTTGTTAAATTGAATTATGTTAATCTTGCTAAAGCAAATGAAATTGTAAAGTAAATAAAAATTATAGTTTTAACACAGGGGCGAAATACTTTCTTTTCAATAGCTATTCTTTTAGAAGCCTGTGGCTCTCTCTTTGCTGGAAGCCTTCGTTTGACCTGTTAAAACCGGTACCTTATTTCCAATCTGTCAGTCTAACTAACAAACAACACTGACTATCAGTGTTTTGAATTATCAGGCAGTATTTTAAAACACACAGGAGTTTTCTATTAGCCGGGATATAGCGAAACATTGACATCAGGAAAACTATTTGACAGTCAAAACTCGTGTTGAAGTGTATGAGCCGTTAGTCTGTTCTATATAACCAGTTTGACAAGATGTTATAAATGAATTAATTCAACCTACTTCTTACTCGGATGATCGGTGAACTCGATGCCAAAACGCATGATACAAGAACTATAACCACGTGCAACACCTTCATCTCTAAAGAACCATGAATCAAGGGATCAAATTAGGTGATAATTATCAGATATCAAAAACACAACACTGGGGTGAAACACAATATCTGCAATTAGACGCGCCCATGACACAATCTCGAAGAAAAATAACAAGATGTGATTGGCTCGTTGTACAGGTTATCCCATAGTATGAGAGTTCGCACCAGTTGTTTCCCTTTTTTTGTTTACACTTTCTCAGGTCGATTCCATTGTGAAGAAAAAGTTTACTCAATTAAATGGTGTGAAACTCGCAAACTCGCCTCCAAAACATCGTTTTATTTGCTTCGTGCGATTGATATGCAACTAATAATACTATATACTGGCACAACAACAACAACTCATCGAGGCATGATGTTCACTGCTCGAAAAGATCAGTGTTAGCAAAGAAATTTCGTTATCGTTTTAAAATTCTTTCCTGAAAGTTTATTTTGCTGTTACGACAGTGCTTTGTCATTTCTTGTTTCGGTTTTGGTTTCTATATCTAAACAAAGCATTTTGCTTTGTTCCGTTATACGACCTTTATAGGACTTCTTTTCGTCTGCTTTGATGAGGAATAAGTAGCAAGCAGATTAGAATTTCAAAAAGATTTTAAATTCCACAAAATACTGAACTGTAAATAGTGTGGAGCAATCGTTCTAATAGTGATATGGTTTTATTAGTTTCACGCCCAGTTAAATCGCCCTTCCTTTGTTGTGATTTGGAAATTAAACTAATACAAATCCCTCTTTTCATAACCTTGAAATTTGGTCTATTTTTTAATTTTGTTCTATTTTGTTCGCGACAAACGACTGAGAGGTTTTTACCCTTTATTGCGCCCTGCATTAATTTTGTTTTACATCAAATCTATCATAGGTCTTTATATGGTTAGCGATCCATAACCCTTCAAAAATCGAAAACGAAGTGTTTTGATAGTGTTAGTTACAGAACACTTCATCCAGGCAGCCTATGCTGTATAAATATCTTGGAGTCACTAGTTGCTTCTCTGCTCTTTCGCTCGCCTTTTAGTGTCTTTTCTATTTACACTCATATCAGGTGAATCATGGTTCATAATACCTAGGTTCATATCAATACCCATAGATACTCTGCGTGGCCGGCGTTCAAAGGGAAGGGAGAGGAGGAAACTAGAAGCGGGAAGCGCGATCGTCCCTTTCCCCCCACCGCACTTCGGGCTTCTGGTTTCCCCGTCTCCCCCCTCCCTTTGAACGCTTGCCAAGCAGGCTAATCCATAGATAGATCAGGCAACCGAGCCTGATTCGCCGCCGAAGCGTACTCACCAAAGGGACCGACGATTGGGAAGTTACCGTTCTCGAATTCGGCAGAAAAATTGTTTAATTCAATTACTGTTTACATTGCATGCTAGTTCCTTTCAATCGGGACGAATAAAAAAAAAAATCTGTGAGGTAACTTTTCTCGGATCGTTATCCGCGATCTTCAATCCCCGAAGTGCGGGGATTTAGGGGGAGGGGAGTAGAGAGCAGGGGCCGGGCGAAGAACATTCTACGCCCACCCCGCGCAAGTCTGCGCTGTCCTCGCGTTTGGTTCTCTTCGCTTATGTCGATTTATTTTGAGAAAATACAGAGTTCGTGAGAAATGTAGACAGTCGAAACACGTATCGAATTGTTCAACTGGTTGGAAAATCTGAATAATAAAATAGTTCTTCGTAAACAGGCATCTTCTCCATAAGAGGTTTGTGTTAACATATTTGCATGATATAAATATTAGAATACCCTGACCTCGTTTGAGAGACGCGCTGAAACTAGAAAGGCGCCGATTCTTTTTGTTATTAGAAAAAAAAATCCAAGAAAATCTTGGAGACACTCATTGACAGGTACCTGCATTTACTAGTCAAACAGCTCTCTGCATTTACATACTGCAGCGGCCGCTCCACTATACGGTATTAATTTGTTAGCTCCCTGAATAATTTATTGAGTACCAGCTAAGAAATCTAAAGCCACTTTTGCGCGTCCTGAAGCTTAAAACTGCGAAGTTCCCGCAGTTAGGTTTAGAGTTTCTCCATCGGAATATGAAAGGTTTTACAATCACACTGCTAATCGTGGCGACTTTCTCTTTGTCAGCATGTCTTCCTGCGAGAAATCCAGCTGAGAAACTGCTGACGCGAGGTAAGAAACGATTTCTCATATATTCTGCATTTTTGAGCAATGTGCATTATATATATTTTTAAATTCAATTTGGGTTAAGGCAGGGAACAGTAATTCTGTTAACGTACGATAATACGTAGGTCTTATTTGTAACTAAGCGCCCAAAATTGTGTCGTAATGTATATACTTTTAATTTCTGAACACATTTGCATCATCGATATAAGGAAGATTTGGTTTGCTCATCTCAACTGCTTTCAAATGAAATCTGCATATTTGAAAATATAGCTATTGATTCCTGTTTTTGAACAGTTGAGTTACGAAAATTGATCACGCCTGCACTCTGAAAGATCTGACGCTTTTTTTCTAGCTTATTTTATGAAGCTTAAAGCTATGTTTAAAATCTGTGGAACATCGCATCAATGAGTGTGTAACCACTTTGGGTGCGTCTATCATTGATTGCATATGCATATTTAGCACACAAAATAACTGTGAAGCGTTGCATTTACAAGAAAACACACTCTTGCCCACCAGGCTACTCATGGATCTGGGTGAAATTCTGCGGATTGTTTTTAAGCCGTAGAAAATTTTGGAATGGGTCGGACGAAAGACGTTGTTATCATTCTAGGATAGAGCCGAATCTGATATAGCTCCATCGATGCTTCTTAGTTATGTGCGCGAGCAGTGGTTTCCCTTTTCATATCAACTAGTTTATTACCCAAAAGACTAAAAGCATGAGCTCTGCGTGGAAAGTAACGATATCTACTTTCCTATCACATCAAAGACTACCTGCATAGGACATACTATGGAAACTTTTATTGAGGGATTTATTTTTGATTTGGCTACTTGCAAACTCCACTTCTATAAGATAACGACTAGAGTGTGAGGACGAGTCTCTCTCCCGATCCCTATTACTACACTCGGACGAGCCTCTGCTCCATTTGTATGCTCATTAATGGTGCCTGTCAGCGAAAAGTTCGCCCGAGTCAGCATGGCCTCACTTTTTTAAAGAGCTTTTAAAGAACTGATTATGTAAATTAGTTATTCAATGCTTTAATAGTGAACAATCCGGCTTCAATTTGAACTCGATGCCATTCAATTAATTAACTTTGTACGTGCTGTAACACAGAACATTAATACATCAAAATAGCCTTATTCTAACAGCTCGCTCAGTGTTAAAGAGAATCGGACACAATTTCATCTTTCAGCAAATTGCGCCTTGAAAATATGTGTTAAAGATTACTTTAAAAAATATATTTTGCACATGTGCTTGTTCACATGTTAAAGTTTCTTGTAAATACGTTGCTGCATACCATGACGTGAGATTTTCGTAAAAACAAAAAAAACAAAAAAACCATGAATCTATGCGACACTTATCATTTCTATTACCTTGCAGTGAAGAGGGAGGATGAGGCTGCAAAGAATGATTCGAAAGCAGAGGAAGAAAGACCGGCTCCTGGTCTCGGTGGTACAAACGTACGATTTCCCAGTAAGTTATGATAAGTTGTAGAACAGTGTTAAAATGAGTGTTGTAAATCCAAAACCAAAGTTATCACTAGCCAATTACAAAGGACAAAACTGGAAGCAAATACATGTAGTTGACGTGAAGAGCGGGAAAACGTGCATGAGCGAGACATGATTGGTTTTTGTTTTACTTCTGATTGGATGAAAAAGTGGCGGGATTTTTTAAGCCAATCGCGTAGCGTATGGTAATGCAGAACCAAGTAATTTTCAGAACTAAATTGACTCTTATCGATATTCAGAGCGGGTTTTAATTAAATGTAGTAGAATTAAGACCAAAGCGATCACAGTCACCACTTAATTATAGCAAACACAGCAACGCAATGACCCAATGAGAGCTCGAAATAGCTGATCCATGCAACCGGCGCGTAAAACAGGAAACGTGTGCCAATGTCGCTATTGGCTTTGGTTTTACATTTAATTGGTCGAGTAGAGTTTGCGCGGATTTTCAAACCAGTTATATTGCGTGGGTGAGAAAGCAAGTAGTTTCGGGTTACTTTCAGGAAATCTATTGAAACGCACCCCAAAGACGTCATTTTGAAATATTATCGCGTCTTACGTATCCTGGAATCAACAGTTTCTACCACGTTTTTGACCGGGGAAAGCTGTGTGAGTTATTTTAAGCGTTGTAACTTGCTTGGCAATGACTTGCATGATCAGTCAATCAAAACGCCCACTTAAGTTTTTCACATGACTGACATCACTGCGCTAGCCAGGCGTCCTCCACAATCTTTGTGAAAAACTTGCACAAAACACTGCGATTGAGTTGGGAGTTTTCTAGCTTGGCCACAATGCATCGCTTTTAGCCGCTGCCACAAGTTGGCCGAAGAATAGCCTGTATCACTTTGAGGTCCCCTGGTTTGAATTTTCACTTTGTGTTGTGTTTAGTTTGCATCTATCAATTGGGCATGTCCAATCGATTCAGCATCTGGGATAATCAAATCACGGCCTCTTCTGCTCATAGCAGTCTCCACCTGAAGCCACACATGGGTCGGCTGAATAACCCTTACGGGTCCTGGTGCATAAAGAGAAGACATCGGGGACCACATTACCTGCAGAGTGATCTTGGTATGTAACAGGATATTATGCACTAGTCACTCATGTTACTCTCAAGGTCCATTTTAGGTCCTATTTATGTGCCCTAGAAAAAGACATTACAGAGAACGTAAAACTATCAAACTGGCTTAAGGTATCAGTAAGGGGAAAATTTGCAGTTTTGCATAATTTTACTTTTTTAAGCGGTTGGATAAATCTTAAAGTAATCTTTTAGATAAAAAAAACTCCACGAAAAAATCTTATTTCTGCCGCTAGTTATTGCCCGAGAAAGATTGTTTTGCATATTAATTACTTAATTGAGAGTTGACAAGTTCTGCAAATGAATTAATTATCAAGGCAAGAAGTCACATGACATCAAGATCATGCTGAGTTGACACGCGATTCGCGCGCCATAATCAGTGCCGGATGTCTTCGAAGAAGACAGAGCGATCTT